GCCGCCACGGCCGAGCTTTCCGGAACCTCCGTACATTACGTTTGGAATGATGCGAAAATAGATTGACAAAAGGGGAATCGGAACTTGAGATACCGAATACCAGCGATATTTGGGGGAGCCGACGACGATTTCACAAATTTGGGTTTTGGGATTTTAGTTTTAATTTGGGCCCACAATTCTTACTCTAATTTTAGTTTTAGATAAAATCAATAAGAATTTTTACTTCCTATACAGTACAGTATTTGAAACTTTATTATCATCCCTACTCAAGTTTCAATTTAATTATATGGTCATATAAAATTTATCAATTATATACAAATAAATTTTAAATGAGTATCATTTTATATTAAAAATTGAATAAGGAATATCCCTTTATATTTCTTTGCGAGAATCCCTTCATATTACCGTATCCCTTTATACTTGCTCACTCTCTCTCCGTCTCTATCTGTCTCTGTCTCTCTTGCAAAGCGTGGAGATTCACTTAGCTTTAGTTGGTCATATGCCTCTCTCTTGCAAAGCCGGAAGACTCATAAGGAATATCAGTTTATGATTTGAAAAGACGAATGCAAGGAAATTAAAATTGCAAAGCCTAAAGATTCACTTTGCTTTAGTTGGACTATAACATGTGCGGAGACTTTAATCTCTTCTAATTCTCCGTAGGATTATAAATTTTAAAGGTGTTATGAAATTTTAGTAAAGTTGTATTATAATTGTATGTAAATTGTATTCTGTTGTAGTTATATATATTTTTTTATTTAAATGTTGTATGAAATTTGAAAAATAGTTGTATAATGTATGAATCGTTTTATAAAATTTGTATTTAAGTTATCAATACTATCTTCTTACATAAAGTTGTTGAAATATATCAAAATTGTATTAAGAGAGTAAGTTTTGATTGGAATTTTAGAGAGAAAGAAGCACACACCATAGATAAAATATATACAAATCAGATACAAAATATATACAAAAGACATATTGTATACAATTTATATAAAGATTATATTTAAGTTGTATGATATTGTAGTTGTATTTAACTAGGTAGAAATAATGTATGAAAGTTGTAGATAAGTTGTAAATAAGTTGCATAATGTATAATTAGTTGTATGAAATTTATTTTTACTATGTATAAATCAGATACAAAAGACATATTGTATAAAAATTATATTTAAGTTGTATGATATTGTAGTTATATTTAACTATGTAGAAATAATGTATGAAAGTTGTAGATAAGTTGTAATCAAGTTGTATAATATATAATTAGTTGTATGAAATTTATTTTTACTATGTATGTTGTTATAGATATTCAAATTTGTATTAAATTTGTACGAAATTTGTATGTTGATGTACCATACATTGTTCTTTTTCTCAATTGATTTATTAAGGAAAGAAAAGTAGAGAATTCCAAATCGACTCATGTGCACTGATTCATATTTGTTTGAACGGAAAAACTTGAATATTGATGGGAACTGAATGATTTGGGTGGAGAAATTTCGAGTTTCATATTAAAAGCGCCATCGTCGCACTTCGGAGAAATTAAGTTTTATGTGAGATTTGAATTTTGTGTGAGAAATTAACTGGGTAGCATATATTCTTGTTGGAAATACTAATACAAAGTTGAATCCGAAGTTTGGAGGCGATTGACTTTAATTTTTTCCCACTCGAAAGGCCTTGGTATAAGTGAGTTCCAAACGACCCAATCTTTTGGGTTCACATAGTATAATTTTTGCCTCCTAACTAAGCCAAATATGAAATAGAAACAAAACGTCTGTTCATATATT